ACATTTCTCCTCAGAGCCCAGCCTCCCAGATAATTTGTTCTGCATACAGGTTCAAAGGGTATGGAGATAGGACGCATCCCTGGCGTACACCCTTCCCAATTTTGAACCATGCAGTGTTTCCTTGCTCTGTTCTGACGACTGCCTTCTGGTCAAAGTATAGGCTTCGCATTAGAACAATCAAGTGTTCTGGGATTCCCGTTCTTCTCAGAGTCAGCCACAGTTTGTTATGATCCACACAGTCAAATGCCTTTGCATAGTCCATGAAACACAACAAAGAAATTTATTATGACAAGCAGAGGAGGAGAGTTTTAGGGAGGAGGTACTCAGCAGTCAACAGATTGTGTGAAGTCAAGTAAGGTGAAGACAGAAAACAGGTTAGTGAGTCTGGCAACTGGAATATCATTCCTGACTTGATAAGTACTTTCTGTTATAAAATGTTGGAAGAAATAAAATTGTAATGGTTTGAAAAGGAACTAGGGAGTGGGAATAATTCAGCATGTAGCATGAAGACTTGGTGTTTCCTGAACTGGCTGACTCCTCAAAATTATACAGGTAATTTAAAAGCCTACTCCTTTCCAAAATTTAGTGATTTTCCATATATTTTGTTCAAAAGATTTCCTTTCTTCCATTTGGAACAGACTTATAAAGGATTGACTGAAACATAATAATTGTACTTGAACATTCATTTTCAAGAAATATTCTTTCTTGCATTCTGGATACACAATCTCTGAGACACTCAAGCCCATTGCTTCAATGACTGTGTCAATTCATTTGGTTGAGGGTCTCACTCTCTTTCACGGACCCTCTACCTTTCCAAGTATGGAAATTTTAAAACTACATGATTTAACAATTTTAAAAGGAAAAAAACCCCTTGTTTTCATTAAGAAAGGTATGTATCAGGGTTATATCCTCTCTTTATACCTATTCAGTCTCTATGCTGAGCAAATAATTCAAGAAGCTGGACTCTATAAAAGAGGAATGTGGCATCAAGAATGGTAGAAAATTGATCAATAACCTACTTTAAGCAGATGACACAATTTTGCTTGCTGAAAGTGAGGACTTGAAGCACTTGCTTCAGACAATTTTTTTAGAACATTTACCTATAAGTAATGTTGTATACCATTTTACATTTCCACCAGCAGCACACAGGGTTTCAACCTCACCAGCAGTTGTTCCATTGTCATAATCTTAATAGGTACACAATTGTATCTCACTGTGCTTTGGATTGAAATTTCTCTGATGACTAACAGTGTGGAATACCTTTTCATGTGTTTATTGGCCTTCTCTGTCTTCTATAGAGAAATGTCTGTGCCTATCTTTCACCATTTTGAAAACAGGTTAGCTTTTTATTGTTATATAAGCTTTTTATCCATTGTAGCATTAAGTTACCGTTACTTGAGTATTTTCTTCCATTCTTTGCTTTTCAATTTTTGTTGTTGTTGTATACCGTTGAATCATATCCAACTGGCACAGAAGATTGTCCCTCCTCCAGTGAACCATCTGGTGGATTTGAACCATGCTCTTCTGGGCTTGCAGTGTAGCTTCTTGCCACTAGGCCACCAGAGCTCCCTGCATTACACAGGTTGATGGTGTTTCGTTTTGTAATTTCTCATTGTGTGTCATCGAGTCAGATCCAACTGGCACAGGAAGAGACTGCCCATCCTTCTCCAGCAGAACATCTGGTGGATTCAAACTGCATGCCTTTGGGATTGCAACACAGCTTCTTGCCACTAGGCCACCAGAGCTCCTTTGTTTTTTAACTTGAAGTTGTCGAGCAAAGTTTTTTGTTTGCTCACTTATTTTTCATTTTTAAGAAACCCTCCCTCATTTTGGTTACTTGTGCTTTTGGTATGATATCTAACCTAAAAATTACAAATATTTACTACAAATTCCTTCTAAGAAACTCCCCTACTTCTAAGGGTTTCATCAACAATTACATTTGGTTCTCTGATCAATTTAAATTTTTTTTATATGGAGTGATCTCAATCCATATTGTAAGCTACAGTCCTTGACACTCTGCAGCAGGCGCTTCAGGTACTCTTCAGTCTCAGCAAGCAGGGTTGTGTCATCCGCGTAACGCAGGTTGTTGATAAATCGTCCACCAATCCTGACCCCACATTTCTCCTCATACAGCCCAGCCTCCCAGCAGGATAGGGAGTGTGAACAGTGTGGAGAGTGTGTAAAGTGTGGAGAGAGTGAAATGTCAAAAAGACAATGATTCTCACCACTGGACCAATTGGCAGCATCAGGATGGATGGTGAAGAGATTGAGATTGTACACAGCTTCAGTTTGCTTGGCTCTGTAGTCAACAGTCTTGGCACCAGCAGCCAGGAAATTAAAAGGTGCATTGCCATGGGAAAGTCTGCTGTTAGGGACCTCTCCAAAGTACTGAAGAGCAATGGTGTCTCTCTGGAGACTAAGGTGCGTCTGATACAGGCTATGGTCTTCACAATCACTTGTTATGCCTTTGAGCTGTGGTGCTGGAGAAGAATATTGAGAATACCATGGACTGCTAGAAAAACAAACAGATTTGTCCTGGAAGGAAAGGGTTAAACCGGGTGGCTCCTTGGAGGCAAGGATTCTGAGGCTCCGTCTAACATACTTTGGACATGTTGTGAGGAGAGACCAGTCCTTGGAGAGGGACATCATGCTTGGGAGGGTGGAGGGACAGCGCAGGAGAGGAAGGCCCTCTATGAGGTGGATTGATTCAGTGACTGGGATAATTGGGATGGGAGTGTCAGAGACGGTGCGATTGGCACAGGACAGAGTGGAGTTTAGGGCTGTTGTACATAGGGTCGCTATGAGTCGCAAGCGACTAGACGGCACATAACAACAACAAATATGGAGTGATGCAGTAGACAGTAGAATTCTAATATTTACTCCTTTCTCATAGGACTAGAGGAACAGTCCCAATAGCTCAAGTTCCACGTTACGGAAATGTTCTGTGGAATGCTCAGGAATATTTGTCATGGCCAGATTCAGCCAGAAATTGCAAGGAGAACAGGTTAACACTCCGGTCACCAAGAGACTTGTGTCCCCTTTTAAGAGCAATGAGTACTATCTGTTGAGATTATGTGAATGAGAGAAGACTGATTATAATGTGAGGAATGGGCAAGGCTAGGTATGAGGTTGTTGCACAAACTCAGATGTGACAATGGCTAATGATATTGGCAGTGAGCGGGAAGAGAGCATGATTCAAAAAGAAAGAATGTGCAGGAGATACAACAATGCAATTGGATGACACAATGCAATCTTTGGTCAGAAACAAGTTATACATAAAATCAGGTTTTATTGAGCAGCTCAAACTGGTTCTGAAGGCAACTGTTAAAGAGGTGGTCCAAACAGGTTCTGAGCAATGTACAGCCTCCCACAAAGATTTAATAGTACATATGTTAATGGACACATTAATCTCTTTGTTATAAAACCAGGTTTACCAAATGCTTTCACCATATTTATACTTGCACGAAAGCAGTTAACACAATGCATGCTTGTCACTACGTCAGCCCAGGTTCCTGTCCAAATAAATCCAAACATGTGAGGTTTATTTCCTAACTCTGATTCTTTAAAAATGGGGAGGTCTCCAAATAACAGGAAGTTTATCCACAGACAAAAATAATTTTTTAAAAAAACATTTTATTATTCTCCTGAAATAGGAAATGTTATATTTCCATAGTCAAAAACAATAAGCTATTTTTTAATATTTAAAAAAATAGTTGAGAATATTGATGGAATTTATTTCAGTAGAATAAAACAAGCAGCATGAAAATGTAAAGTGCTACATAAAAGATCCACATCACAGAAAATTTAAAAGGTTCATTGGCTTCATCAGTTACAGAAAGACTTATCTGTATATATATATATATTTCAGCATGCCATTTTAACTACCTTGACATGTAGTTACATGTTATGTAGGTCAAAATGGGTGGTAGGGGAAGCCATGAGTTTACCTTAATCTGAGGATTAGGGAGGAAAGGGCACCTAAGCATTTACCCACCAGATATCCAGTTTGGCCTTATGCTAGAACTAAGAGGTTAAAGTGGTGCTTTAAAAGAATTTTTTTTCCTGTTGAAACACTTCACATAGAGTTTAAATAATGATTAATTTCGCTCATTAACTCCATATTGGGGGCCAGACTTAAGAATCTTAAAGAATTTAAGAACTTTTAGGGAGCAAATATAAGATGAAGGGAAAAGAACAAAACCCACCACTTTCAGGTACATGAATCAGGTGCTAAAATAAAAATTCACACACACACACACACACACACACACACACACACACACACACTCTCTCTCAAACACTCACACACACGGTAGCCTGAAGACTGATGGGTGAGGATAGGGAGGAAAATAATTTGAGAAGAATCGCATAGTCATCCTGGCTTAATGAATTCCAAAGTCCAGGTACCATGGCAATTTAAGATTACAGAGTCAGGAGCTGGCTCAAGTCTGACAGAGAGGACATGCGACCTCACCCCAGAGAGAAGAGACTGATTCTGGAGCACTGTCAATCTCAGCACAGATGGGGGTATGGAGAGATCCTTCTTCCAAGGCACAACACGACCCTGTATTCAGAGCTGAGTTAGTGACTTCTTCATAGAAGATCACAAAACCGGCATTTCCAGTATATTGTCTTCCAAACCAAGACCTCAAAACACACATTTTCTAATGGCAAAAAAATTACAAGACAACTTATCACTTCTCTGACATATGAAGTCTTTCTTCATAAAGTCCTTAGTCTTTTTCGACTTTACTCACATCAGCTGTAGAAACAACAGGAAAAATCTGTAAAACATTTTAAAAATGCTAATTTATTAAGTTTGGCAACTGTGTATTATATAACCGTACATAATAAGTTCCTATTATAGATGTGAGCATATAGGAAAACTGGCTATTAGATGAAAACAGAAGTTGCATCTGATATCTGGCTAAAAGAATCAAAGAGCCATATTGGGAGCAGAAATTATATTTGACTCAAAATTATTTTTAAAATTGTTTCTATGTTGCCATAATTTCAATTAGCTACAAATATGCAAGGACTTTATGAATACACCCCTCCACTGTTCAAGATACAATATGCTCCAACCATTTTATGACATTGAGCCATAAAAAAAAAAAATCAACTTATAAATACACTTTTAGAACACACCCTCTTTGAAGATGGGGACTATCTACTTCTAAAAATATGAATCTTAAATTACAATACCCTCAAATTCTCATTAGCTTTCAATGCTGCTAATGAACTTGCTGAACACAATGTTTTTATGTAATCAAATTCCATCAACTGGTATTACGATGAAAGACTAGTGTAGTCTGTGGAACGAGCTAGCTGTAAGTTAAATATTGATTTTACACTAGAAATTATTTCTTGGGCTTTGATTATATGAACCATTCTAAGGTTTTGCTAACATCTACCACTTGGGCCCTGAGCTTTTATATTAAAATGGTATAGGAAATATTTCAACATTATGCATATTCTTGGAATAATTAAAATTTTTAGTGACCACACAAGAAGAGACATATAATACATCTCAAAAGATATACAATTAAAAATAGATAAAACATCTTCATTTTAAATCACTTAACTTCTGGAAGACAATGTAGAGATTTCCTGGCTTGAACTCTTTCTTCTTCAAAAGAAAGATCTATGAAGGATTATGTTTTTCCTTTTTAAATTTTGTGTGCATTTCAGGGACAAGTGATAACAATGTGGTTACAAAGCATTAGTCTTTCTTCACGTAAGATCCAATAACAAAGATGTGATCTCATATCCTCACATACTGGACTGAAATATACCTTCACTGAAGAATGGTTAGGACACAAATAATGTCACAGAATGGGTAATCCCAGGATTCCTTCTATGAATGACATTTTAAAACAAGCTCTCTGAGGGCTTCACCTTCACTTTTCAATCTTTCTATCCCTCTATCATTCTACAAAAGTAGAAACAAAGTACTCAACAAATGGTATTGAGTAACTAATAATAATCATTAGAACTTGAAATGCCATCTTTCATCCAAAGATTTCAAAGGGCTATACAGAATATATCACAAATTTACATAAATAGGAGCTGAGGCATGAGAAAATATGGTGAGCTGTTTCCCTATAAGCAGGTCAAATAGTGAGATAAGGGACAGCTGTCTTCCAGTCCCTTAAACTAGGCAGGACGCACTGCTGGACATAATGTGAATGTCCACATGATGTTTCTACTGAATAAGGATCAAAAAAAGGAATGAATAGTAAATACAAAACAATCTTTTTGTAAACAATATATACCCAATGCAGAATGTTTAATGAAGCACTTGAGTCACAGCTCTTAAAACACAAAACAATGTTATAACTCAAAGTCAAATATGTACTCATTGGCCAGATATATTCGTCGGAATATAAGAGCTGCCAATGCCAAAGTCAGGATGACAATCAGTACAGCAGATCCACCATGATCAGTATGGTTGTCTCTTGGCTGCTGGCCCTGAATTACATCTGGTGAACTCGATGACCTTCTTTGATTCTGCTGCTGGGCCCGACGCTGTCGAGGGCTCATGGAGGTATTCTTAGCTACAGGCTGTGCAGGTTGCTGAAGGGATGCCGCTGAAGGGTTCTGTACTCCATACTAGAAAATGTTAAGAAAGTATTTTTAAAATTTTAACAGAAAATAATTGTATATGTACTTGTAAAAATGCCCAGAAAGGAGGGGAGTGTGGAGACTACACAGAACCTCATAGCACTAAATGTGGCTGAGGGAACTACCACCAAGAATTATCTGAGACTATGCAACAATGAATGAATGGAATTCCAAAATCTCTGTAGATGTTCACTGAAATGAAAAATAAAGAAATTAAATTAAAAAAAAAAGAATTATCTGAGACTAACAACACCCACCCTTGATTAAGTCAACAGTGCAATTTATTCACCAGTAGAGGAGGAACCTACCCATAAATAAGAGGGAAGACTTTACCCACATGGTCCAGAGATGGTTTTCTACTCTCTCTTGGGTTGTAATTTTAGTAATATCTGTTGAGCTTCTGGGGACTTCCCTTCTTTCAGGAAATCCAAAGAGGAAAGCAGATTTCCATTTTCTAATTGAAAATATGTCATTCTCAATGACTTAAGAGGGCCACTCTTAACAATGTGCCTTTATGAATCAGGCTGCTTCTGATATTATCTATTACATAATATTAACTTTTGATATAAACTTATTATCTTCATGTTTCCACTAATGGTAATAGAGGATAGGAAATCATTCCAAACCAAACATTTTTCACAGCAAAATAGCAAAAAATAGGCGTGGTTTTCCAATCACAATTAACTTTTTTCAATTCACATTAAACACACTGAATGCATGTCCAGAAGTATCCTGTGCTGGATACTCCAATTTGTCAAAAGTTCCCTTTGTAAGTGTTGAGAAAACTCTAGACATAGTTGTGGGCACTTCAACATATCCTCTACTATAGCAGACTGGTTGCTCCCAACAAAGCACTTGAACAGTAGGTGTCCCCTATCTTTGTTCAGTAACAGGCCAGCCAAAGCTTAACTATGATATAATACTAAATGATACGTAATTTAAAATATGGCTCTTGTTCTTGTTAGGGGTTTGCAAGTTGTCTAAAGGAAGAAAATGGAACATTGGGACACAGGACAGTGACTTTCTCTCCAAAAGGACCAGAAAGAGTGAGAATACCACAGCCCCTCACCAACCTGGGTAGAAAAGCAGATAAAGAGCCAATAGCCCAGGCCCATCGTCCCTCCAGAATCACACTAACAGCAATAGATTCATTTATTCATTGTAACTTACAGACTCACTGTTGTGGTACTGAGAATGGGATCTATTAGGGAAGTAAGTTGTAGAGTGGGAGAGAGGCAAAGAATATCATCTAATACGAGTCCAAGTCTTAGTAAAGCAGTCCAAAGGCACAATTCCTCAACAAGTCCAGGGTCTAATTTTAGTTCTGCAGTTAAATCCAAATCATCCAGCAACGTTTGCCTCAGTACAAATATAAGTCATCTTCTCCTTCAAGCATCCGGCAAAAACAGAAAAAACCTTTAACTGTGGTCAGCACAAATGCAAGAAGCCTCAGGTCACACCTTGCCAGTTTCTCCATAGCAATGCCATAGTCTCTCCACCACCATCACCTGGGGCTCACTCTCACCAGGGTCTTGCTCCAGTTTCCCTCAAGTCTTGCTGCTGCCACAAGTCTCACTCTCACCTCAAGTCTTACTCCCTAGTGTGGGAAGCTTTCTTTCTCTTATCCTAGTCCAACAGCTGTTGGTGACTTACAAGGCCATGTGTCTGCAGTTAAGGTAATCAGAGGGGCTAACTGTAACGGCTAAAAAATCCAACTTCTAGGCTATCATCACACAAGTTCATTACTACTCAAAACAACTCTACGTACAACAGAACAAAACCTTGTACAAACCTGCACCATCCTCACACTCTTCTTGTGTTTAAGCTAACTATTGTAGTCATTGCAACAGTCAGTCTTATTGAGTGTCTTCCTCTCCTTCATAGACCCTCCACTATTCCAAGCATGATGTCCTTTTCCAACAACTGGCCCCTCTTCACAACGTGTCTAAAGTATGTGTGACAAATTCTCACCATCCATGCTTTTGAAGAGTACCCTATCTAGACTTCCTCCAAGACAGATTTGTTTGTTCTTTTGACAGTCCACAGTATACTCATTACTTTTCAACACCATAATTCAAAGGCATCAATTCTGTCACTGTCCAACCTTTAAAATGCAATTTGGAAATACAAAAACCATCCCAGTGCTATCAAATTGGAGCCTGTGAAAAACCTGGGAAGAGACTGTCCATCCTCAGAATTGCTGGTGAATTCAAACTGCCAGAGAGGTATAGCCTCTGGCTTAACAGCACACAAAATAAGTCAAATGCGATGGCTTGGGTCAAGCATACCTTAGTCTTTAAACTGATAACCTTACTTTTTAGAATTTAAAAGAGCTCTTTGACAGCAGAGTTGCACAAATCAATATGCTTTTTCATTTCTCAACTGCTGCTTCCATAGGTGTTGATTGTGGACTGAAGTAAAATCAAATCACTGAAAATTTCAAACTTTTCTCATGATGCTGCCTTTTCGTCCAGTTATGAGTATTTTATTTTCTTGATGTTGCAGTGTTCACTTCCTACAAGAAAGGCTGGGTCATCTGCATAATGCAAGTTTTTTTAAATTAATCCTCCTCCAATCCTGATGTCACTTTCTTTTTCCTAGTCAAGCTTCTCCAATTATTTTCTCAGTATACATATTCAATGTTGTTGTTATGTACTATTGAGTTGACACCAATTCATAGCTGACCCTCCAGCAGATGTTGAGAGGCAGTAAATAAAAAAAAGGAAGGAGATTGCCTATCTTTCTCCAACTGAGCAGCTGGTGGATTTGAACCACACAAGCTTTTGGAGTGGCGGCACAACTCCTAACTCTAAGCCACCAGAGCTCTGTAGTCGTAAGATAGCTGAGTCAAAAGGCATTTATATTTTTTGTTTTCTGAGGAAGTGTCAGACAGATTGCCTTTCATAGTGGGTGTAGCATTTTACACTCCCACTAGCAGTTGATGTGAATTCCAATCTCTGCATCCTCACCAGCAGCATTTGTTATTTGCTATCTTGTTGAACTATGTTCAGCCACTGTTGATGGAGTGAGATGATATCTCATAATTTTTTTATCTTTATCACTCTAATAGCTCTAGTAGCTTTGTAGTAAGAAGTTAGCCTGTCAATCCAAAGGAACACAGTTCAAATCCACCCGCTTTCTGGGAGAAAGATGGGCAATCTCCTTCCATGTGACTTAACTGCCTCTGAAAACTACCTGGAGGGTCAGCTTTGAGTCAGTTCCAACTCTATGGCATATAACAACAATAGCTAGTGATCTTGAGCATTTCTTCATGTGTGTGTTGGCTATCTGAAAATTCTCTTTGGTAAAGGGTCTCTTCTGTCCATTTTTTTAACTAGTTGTCTTTGTCTTGTTGAAAGAGGTGCTGGAATATCTACATATTTTAGGTAAGTCCTTTTCCAAATATGCCATTACCAAATATTTTTCCCCAGTTTGTGAGCTTCCTTTTTATCCTGTTGGAGAAGTTTTTTGATGTACATAAGAATTTTATTTTTAGGAAGTCTCATTTATCTATTTTATCCTTTCCTGGTTGTGGATTCTTGGTTATGTTTGTGGTTGTTGCTGAGTACCATCGAGTCGGAACTGACATGTAGCTGACACTCCAGTAAGTTCAGAGGCAGTAATCGCACAGGAGGAAACTGCCCATCCTTCTCCCATAAAATAGCTCGTAGATTCAAACCACAGGCCTTTGAGATTGCAGCACAGCTTCTCCCCACTAGGCCAGAACTTCTAAATTTGTTCCTATTTTTCCTCTAAAGATCTTTATTACCCCTAGATCTCTGATCCACTTTGAGTCAGTTTTGTGTATGGTGTGAAACGTGGATCTTGCTTCTGTTTCTGCAGACAAATGTCCAATTTTGCCAGCACCATTTATTAAAGAGGCTGTCATTTCACCACTTCATGTTTTTAGGGGTTTGCTTCTCTGTGTCAAAGTTAACACAGGTGGATAAGTTGATTTCTGGGTTCTTGACTCTTTTCCATTGGTCTGTGTGCCTCTCGCAATACCAGTACAGTGCTGTTTTGATGACTGTGGCTGTATAGTAGGGTTTGAGATAATGGAGTCTGATGCTTCCTATGTTTTCTTTTTCAGCAGAGCATTGGTTATTCAAAGTCTCTTTCCTTTCTAATTGAAGTTGGAAACTGTGTTGGCATTCTTACGTATGACTGCTGATATTGAGGTTTTCCACTCTCTCTTCTCATGCTGTAGCTGTTGTTGTCATTAGGTGCCACTGAGTCCACAACAACTCATTGCAACCCTATGAACAAAGAGAGATGAGCCTCGCCCTACCTGACACCATCCTCACAATCTCTGATATGCTTGAGCCCATTATTACAGTTACTGTGTCAATCCTTCTTGTGAAGAGTTCTTCCACTCTTTCCCTGACCTACCAACACTGACAGGATGAAATCCTTTCCCATAGACTGGTCCTTCTGGACAACATTCCCAAAGTATGTAAGACCAAGTTTCTCCATCCTTGCCTCTAAGACATGTGCCTCCTGCACTTCCTGCAAGACAGGCTTGTTTGTCTTTTTGGTAGTTCATGTGATACTTTTGTCCACCACCACAATTCAAAGCCATCAATTCTTCTTTTGTCATCATTATTCACTGTCCAACTTTCCAGTGCACAGGAAATCATCAAAAAGACCTGGATCAGGAGCACCTTAGTCTTTAAACTGATTGTCTTTGCTCTTTAGCATTTTGGAGCAGTCCTTGACAGCAGATTTTTTTCCAACACAACATGTTTCCTGATCTCTTGACTGGCTGCTACCAATGATGCTGATTTGGATCTATGTAAGATAAAATTTTTGACACCTTCAATCTTTTCTCCAACTGTTATAATATTGCCTATTGGCCCAGTGTTGAGGATTTGTTTTCTTGATGTTGAGATGTAATCTATAATGAAGACTGTAGCCTTTGCTCTTCTGTAACAAATATATCAAGTTCACTTCACTTTCAGTAAGCAAGGTGTGTCATCTGCATAACTCAG